AGTAAATCCACCACCGATATTTTAGATATCTACAAAGCACGTCAGCAACTTGAAGAAGATCATTATGGTCTTGAGTCAGTTAAGAAACGTGTTTTGGAATACTTGGCCGTTTTAAAATTAAAAGAAGATCTGAAAGGACCTATTCTATGTTTACTTGGTCCTCCAGGTGTTGGAAAAACTTCATTGGGTAAAAGTATTGTAAATGCGCTCGGTCGAAAATTCCACAGAATCTCTTTGGGTGGTGTAAGAGATGAGGCTGAGATTCGCGGACATCGTCGAACTTACATTGGTGCCATGCCTGGTCTTATCGCCCAAGGTCTTAGACGTGTCGGAGTTAAAAACCCTGTATTTTTACTTGGTAGATTTATTTCTATAATAATATTTTTCATTCAGATATAAAATACACGTTTTAATTATATATTTATTTATTTAGATGAAATCGATAAAGTTGGCCATTTGAGTAACCATGGAGACCCATCTGCCGCTTTGCTTGAAGTCCTCGATCCAGAACATAATACTTTTAACGATCATTACCTTAACGTCCCCCTTGATTTATCTAAAGTTTTATTTATCGCTACGGCTAATCAAGTTGACACGATACCTCCTCCTCTTTTAGATCGTATGGAACTTATAACTGTTCCAGGTTATACATTTGATGAGAAAATAAATATTGCACAAAGACATTTATTACCAAAGCAAATCATAAATCACGGTCTTTCAGTAGGAGATGTAAAGATTTCTGATAAATTGTTACTAAAAATTGCTTCTGGCTACACCAGAGAAGCCGGTGTTAGAAGTTTAGAAAGAGAGATTGCGAGTGTTTGTCGAGCAAAAGCTGTGGAATATGCTGATGCAAAATATAAAGACGAATTAGATGGTTACACTGGGGAAATTACTGAGGAGGAAGTTGAAAAAATCTTGGGGGTATGAAAATAATTCGTTCAGCACTTTTTATAATATTCGCTCATTATCCTTAAATTACCATATTGATCAATTTTCCTTTAGGTTACTAAATTCGATAATGAAGTTGCAGAACGTACTGCTAGACCAGGTGTAATTACTGGGTTAGCATGGTCAGCATCTGGATCCGGTGGTATTTTATTTATTGAAGCTACACAAATGGCTGGAAAAGGCAACCTTCAATTAACAGGTAATTATTACAATCATGTTAATTAGTAAATAAATATAATTTAACATTTTTAATATTGTAGGTAAGTTGGGAGATGTAATCAAAGAATCAGCCAACATCGCACTTTCGTGGGTGCGAGCACATGCTTTTCAGTTGGGAATTACAACATCGGAAACCGAATCTAAGTTTTTCTTTCAGAGAGACATTCATATACATTTTCCTGCAGGTGCAGTAGGTAAAGATGGCCCGTCAGCCGGTGTAGCATTGACAACTGCACTTGTGTCTTTATTCACGGATAGGCGTGTACCACCAACAACAGCAATGACGGGTGAAATTACTCTACGAGGTCAAGTTTTACCCGTAGGTGGTATTAAAGAAAAAGTAATTGCTGCACATCGTGCAGGTATTAAAAAAGTTATCCTACCTACAAGGAATCGAAAAGATGTTGAAGGAGATGTACCAATTAATGTGAAGAATGAAATCAATTTTGTTTACGCAAATAGTGTTTTCGATGTTCTTCAAGCTGCTTTTGAAGGAGAGAAAATCTGGATAAATTCTGCTTCAGTTGTAGAATTTGAAAGTCGACTTTAAAAGACAATACTTTATTATTTATTTATTTATACTATTATTCAACGACTATTAATGTAATAAAAAAAAAGATATATATTGAAACCATGAATTCCTTTGTTTAATTAATAAATGTTTTCAATGAAAAAAAAAATAAATATTATTGCGTCACAAATTTAGTGTTAGATGGCATTTGAGAAACAAGTAGAATTATATTATTCTTATTTTATAGCTAAATTTTAAAATATTATAATAAATTAAAAGTTCTTTGATGTAAATCACAAAAATATGTTATAAAAATGCAAATTATATTAAGGTATATAATCAGTATTATAATTCATTTATAAAATAATAATTCTATTTTAACTATTTATTAGTTCTGAACAGTTCAGATTAATTCGAAAATTTTCAGTTCAGATTGACTTCAGTTCAATTTCGGATTGCATAAAACTCAATCCGAAAATTTTCAGATTGATTTTTTTTTCGAATAATAATTCTACTTGATTCGTTCTAATTGAAATGATAAAAACATTATTCAAAACGAATGATAAGCATTATTCAATTAAAAATCATCCTAAATAAATAATAAAAGAATTATTCAATTAAAATGAAAATGATTAAAACCATTTTCAACAAATTGAATTTTTAGATTAATGTGAAATTTTCAGATTTTACCGGTTTTACAGTTCAGTTCAGTTTCAGTTTCAGATTGTCTTATAATCTTGACTAAACTGAACCATTTAAAATATTAATTATTTTTTTTTTTATTTTATTTATAAAATTTATATTATTTCATCTTTATTTTCTTAATTTATTTAATAACTTTATTTATATTTTATTATAATTTATATTTATTTAATTATATTATAATAAAGTAAACTTATATATATAAAATAGCTTTTTACTTAATTATAAATTAATCAATTAAGCAAAATTTAAATATTAAATAAAGAAATTAATAATATTTAATATATATAATTTGTAATATAAATATTTTGACTAAAACTCTAAATCAGATTAGATTAACCTGTTTATTTAATCTGATTTGATCTGAAAATTCAGATTAGATTTAATAGATTTTAAATTAATATTATATCAGGTTAACCAATTTATCTGATTTGACCTAATCTGTAAATTCAGATTAAATCAGTAAATTTTCAAATTAGTATCAAGTTAAATTAACTTATTACTTAATTTGACTCAACTTAATAAAATTTAGATTAAGTAATTATTCTTCTTAAATGATAACTAATTGTTCAATTAGAATGATTGTGAATCATTTAATTACAATGATAATATATATCATTTAATTAGAACAATAAAAAATTATTCTTTTTGAATGATAATGAATCATTTAATTAGAATATTAACAAATCATTTTTATTGAATAATAATTTAAAATAATAAAAAATTATTCTTCTTAAATGATAATGAATTATTTATTAGAATAATAATAAATTATTTAATTAGAATGATAATAATCATTCTTCTTAAATAATGATAAATTTTTTTTAACTCTGTATAATACAGGAGAAACCGTTCTAGTTACATAAAATTTTGATGCCTATAATTGTTTATTGACTAATCAAAATCACAAATTTTATCAATATGAAAAAATTTAAAACAATTATTTTTAATATTATTTATTGTGTATTATATAAATATGCATAAAGTATATATATAAGAGTTGTTTTTTATTATTCATATTAATATTTAAAAATATTTAAGAATTTTAAAGTTATATAACTAAAATAAAATATAAATAATTTATATATACATATAAATAAATTGAAAATTTTTTCTATTTAATAAAAATAAAATTTAATAAAAACTAAAATTTACAAATCAAAAAATAAATTTTTTGCATGTTCTAATGAATTTTCTACTACTACCATATCACCTATTGCTAGTTCAACATTATCTGAATTATCATTAATTGTATTTTCATTATTCTCATCAATAAATTCATTTTCATTTAGTTTTTTCATCATATTATCTTTTAGTGTATTAATATTTTTTTTTATTTTAACCTGAAGGTAATTTAAACATATCAAACATTTAGACTAACATCTTTATAAATAATAGTTATAGTAATCATATTTATACGTAAGAACTTTACTATCATCTAAAATATTAGTATAGTTAGTACAATTACAATAAAAGTAATCATATACAACAACTATATAGGATTTTTTGAAGGTAATGAAATCTCTTAGAAAATGACAATCAGTTATTTTGTAACCTAAAGAAGATAATTTATATGAGTTAATTCTATCAGTTAAAGTTTTAACAATCAAAGGATACTGAAATTGTGTTTGATATATCTTTGTAAACATATCTAAAAACAATATAGCACACTTTTAAGAAAGTGTGTGCAATTGCTTTAGTATATATGAATATTTCATAGAATTAACAAAATGCTTTCAAAAAGTATTATCATCTTGATGTTAAAATAAATCAGACTTTTTTTCTGCAATTGCTGTACAATAGAAAACTTAGTCATATATCATCAAATAATACTGTAAATGATTTCTATAAGACTCACTTAAAGCAGCAAGATGATTAGTAACTATATCAATCATCAGATGATTCATTTCTATCTAATAAAATATATTAGAGAAAAATATTAAAGGAACGCATTTATAATTTCTTCGATCAAATCAAAGATATAAATAAGGTTGCTTGTTTAAACTTATTTTGAATTTAGCAAAATATCTAAACTATAGTTTTGCTAATTTGTTACTAAGATTTTAATATAGTTTCACATTTTTATAAGCTTTGATATAATTTTACCTTTTCTAAAATTTTGCAAATTTTTTAATAAGGTTTTAATATAATTTCGTTAAATTTTATCTTTTTCTATTTAGACGACTTGCAAAACTTCTAAGTTTCGTCTAGCAACCTTAGATATAAATTATTCTAACAATACATGCAAGTTTTTTCATAAGCTGTCAGTTACTTTCTCAATGATATTTTATGTAAATATTGAGAACTAAAGGAATTAAATTACTTAAAAGATCAATTAAATATAAGAATTCAAGATTCTTACATATACAACCAAACTTAGAATAGATAATATCAGCTATATTAAGTGAATCAGATATATGATATAAAGAACCAAATTGATTCACTACAATCATGACTTCTTATCAAGATTCTTATTTTTACCAAATATTTCTTTATAGATATTATTAAATAGAAAAGCATTTTTCATAAATACAAGTTCACAACCATTTAAAGATACATGAAGAGGACCTATTATAAGTAAAAATGCTATAATGAATAAAGAAATAACTTCATTGTTGAAAAGCTAGTGTGTAATAGCTAAAGATGGTCACCGCAATTGAAAAAAATGGTGCAATTTAGTTGCAACTTGTGGTGCAATTAAATTTCCTTATGGTGCAATTAAGTTGTAACTCAATTGAAATTTAAAAATAATTATGGGGACCATCTTTAGTAATAGCTTTACAAACTTACTCTCTTAGGTCATCTTTTTAAAGGATTTTCTACTAAATTTATATAATAAATATTATATAAAATAATACCTTCTATCTATATTTTCTTAATTAAATTATTATTTTTAACCTTTTTCCATTTATTTCCTTTTAAAAGATGAAATTTAGTTGACTCAGTGGTTTTATATTCTATATAATGCCTCTTTTCAAACATGTTTTTGCTAGGATAATCATATTATAAAAGTTGTTGAATTCAAGTAGATTTAATAGTTATTATTACAACAAAGAGCAAAAGCTTAAAATTTGTCTAATATATTTACCTATAATTTATTGCAAAAATGGGCTATTGTAAGACTCCTGAAAAAGTACTTTATACTATATAAAAAAATTTTTATAAATTGTGTAATTGATTTTCTTATATGGGATGGTCTTTCCTAAATAATACTTCGTTATTAAAAAGATAGTGATAAAATAAATGGTATAGAGCTGTAATGATAGCTGTTCTGAATGAAGCTTTTATTAACCCTGATGTTAGTTTAGTTTTGGTTCATCTGGGTTCATAGATTATTATATCAATGGTGATTATTATTGAAAAATTAAAATATTGCTCAAAGGTCAAAAAATAAAAGAACATTATGAGTACTTTAGCAAAAATGACAAATATTATTCATTATCTCTCAAATGTTAGACAATTATCGATCTTTGTCACATATCTAAAAAGATTACTAGTTTGCATAAAATTTCTGATATATTTATTATATAGATGATTTTAGCACTGTTACTATCTAACAACTTGATCAGATTAATATAAAATTGATCTTACAAGGTGATAAGCTTTGTCCAATTAATGAGACTGTCTCAGTTGATTTTTAATACTGTATATAGCATTTATAATCTTATCAATTTCTTTTTTAATTATAATTAATCATCTAAAGTTATTTGTATTTTGTCTAGTTATTATAATTAACATTATATAAATAATTTGAAATATAATTCCTGATTTCTTAATTTTATAACATCAATACTATTAAATTTAATTTTAATATATGAAAAGTTGTATTATTACTCTAACGGTAAATAACTAACACAAGAATTATTTTTCATAGAATTATTAGTCTAAAGTGTTAGCATAAAACTATATAATTAGCTCAGAATATTAGTGTAGAACTGTATAATTAGTCTAGAATATTAGCGTAAAACTATATAATTAGCCTAAAGTATTAGCATAAGATTATATAATTAGTTTAAAGTATTAGCAAAAGATTATATATATTTTATGCGCTTTGATATCCTGATGTCTATCAACTCAAATTTTGAGTCAATGAGTGGTTGGTTTCTTTCATTACATTTGTACTTTAGACTTAACAATGGTTTTTGAAACTATTCCTTAGTATTACGCAAAGTGAAAAAATGTCAAAATGTCTGCTCGCTCAATAATTGAATTAATGCTGATTGACTTTTGCAATATTTTTTTAATTAAGATTATTCTGGACTTAATAACAGTTCCTTTTTTTTAGTAAAATAAATAATTTTCAGATTTTTTATCATTTGCATATCTGTTTGTTTGTTATAAGTTAAATTATCTTGATTAAAGCAAGGATTAGTAACACAAAAAATGCTTTTATTACATTTAGATAAATATTTATTTTTTTTAGTTATTTTTTAATGTTTCGTTAAAATACTACAATGTATTAAATATTATTATTTAAAGCTTTTCTTATACTTTCATAA